TTCTCTCACATCCTCTTCCTCTCCTCCCCTCACCAACAAAGAACGACAAACTAAGAACTAATAACTCCTCAACAGGTTCTTTCACTCTTAGACTATTCTCAGAGGCATCGACTGGCCTGGCCTTGGCCAGAGGTGGGTCCGAAATTGGAGCCGGGGGAGCTTTTCGAAGCCTCTTACAGGAGCCACCTCTGTAGCCCCCTCTGCCTCAAGCAAAACCCAGTCAGAGACCAAACCACCACATGGTGTTCTAAGAAGAGCAGCCAAAGAAGGTGAAGGAACAGTGTATTTGAAATAAAAAATATCAGGTTTTTTCTGCAATTTAATGGCCACCTATTTATATGTATTACCCAGTTTTGAGACAATTTCTGAGAGGAGTTTTCATTAAATTGTCTCTGGTTTTTACTTGAAAATTACACTTCTCTTTGGTCTGCCTGCCAGTTTGTGTAAACAGTTTGCCTCTGTTCTTCTAGATCCTGGCATTGGAGGCACTTGCACATACTTCATTTTTATGCAAGAGGATACTCCCCTGACATCTAACACACAGAGAATTAGTTATGTCGCTAAAATCCCAACAGATTCAGTAGTTGCTGTTGCTGTTCAGCAGAAAAGATTGTATATTGGTGGTAGATTTTTTTTTTTTATTTTATTTTTCAGTTCAGTCCAACACTGAAATAAATGGACCACTACAAAAAATGGTTACTTTTCTAGAAATTAGAGAAGAATTTTCAAAGAATTTTGTGAAGGTGTATATTGGTTTATTGTAGTTGCATACAATTATTGAATCTTAGATTTAATTACTAATGTATTTTATTTTTGTCTGTATCATGCTGTGTTCCATTTGAAATTAAGAAAGAAATTGACAATACCGTTCCAACAAGAGAAATGTTCACGTGTTTGAAATAAAAGTAATTTGTGTCTTTTGGAAATATCTATTTTATAGTGTTTAAAATTCAATGTAATATTAATATCTTCAATGTTTCCTGAGGTATCTTAAGTTTTAGGCTATCCCAAGCTTGTGCAAGTACCTGAACATCTAATTCTGTGCTTCTGAGCATATTTAATAGAAATTAAAATTTAAGAAAGAAATACATAACAAATACTGCTCTAGAAGATAAAGTATGTCATATTCACTAAGTCCATTATGTTGGAAAATAGTAATCACATTTACCACTCTTCCAAACAGATTGCAAAGGATGATGCACTACATTTGCCAACTGCAAGTCAGTTAGTGACGCCACAAAAATCAGGAAATACATTGGATAACAATCTTCCAAAAGATCTATTTGGTGTTATCTCTGGCATTGGTAAGCACTTAAAAAATAAAATAATTAAAAAAGGAACCAGTTTCCTTTTTCTTTTGTTACCAGAAATAATTGTTCTGTGTCCAACTTTGGTTGCTTTCTGTATATATACTTGAATGTTACTGCTACTTCCATTAACAGAACCCTAATGCAATCAACTGTTCAGCATGGGTCAGAATTCACAGTCTTTCTTTTGGCATCTTTTTTGGTTTTGCATTTCTGTTTGAAACTAAAGCTGCTTCTTGGAGAGAGCTGGTTTTTCCCCCATCAAAGGTGATAGTTCTTGTCTTGCTGCAGAGAAACAGGAGACAAGACTAGCCTTAGTCACTTATGGCAAGAGTACTTACAATATGCAATTTTGTACATGATATTTGAGACTACCTGTAAGTAGAGTGCTGCTTGTGTGCATCTGTGGGCATCCTCCTGTCTGTCATCTTAATGTGGTTTTGTATTTGCTGTTGTCTGCTATAATTAGTTGTGTCACTTACTAGTCAATTAAAAAAAAAAAAAAAAAAAATGAACAAAAAAGGGGGGAAGAAG